TCCTCTCTCCTCCTCTTTTTCTTCCTCCTCTCTCCTCCTTTTTCCTTCTCTTCCTCCTCCTCCTCCTCCTTTTTCACGGCATTCAATCTTGATTGGAATGGGGGGAAAAGCGGGCAGGGAGATTGCATTGTGCTTCTTTTGTTCCCCCTCTTTGTCCCCCCACAGGTAAAGCGTGCAGGGGGATTGTCTTGTGCTTCATTTGCTCCATCTCATTGTTCCCCTCAGGTATTTCGTTCCTCTTCGACATCACGCTTACTTGATTTCATTTCACGGGGCACCCTTGCAAGCGGGGGTGCCAGATTCATTTCATATGCCTGCCGCTGCTGTTTCTTGCCCGAGCAAGATGACGAGCTCAGGCTCTCGGTCGCGCCCCCGGCGCAGGCGGCGCTCCCCCAGCTCCGCGCGCTCTCGGCGCCGGCGCCGCACGCCAGGCCGCTCACGAGAGCGCGCGCGCACGCCTGCGCGACGGGGCCGTTCCCCTGACAGCGCCCAGAGGCGCGCGGCAGCGGCGGTGGTGGCAGCGGGGTGCTCGCCAGAGCAGTCCGCGAAGGGTATACGACAGTGGCTTGCTCGCCATTGCCCACCAGGCACAGAGGCCTTCGCCGGGGCATTGAACGTGTGTTCACACAAAAAAAACAAAACAATGAACGTCGTTTTGGGTCAATGTTGTTTGTGTCTCGCCTCTGCCTCCCCGTTTTTCCCCGACCATCCTGTGGTGTTGGGTCCTCGCAAGTGCGAATGGTCGGGTCCTTCGCCAGGAAGAACACGTGCCCCATGTCACGGCGAAGTGTCCCAGGCTCTGCAACAGCAGGCGGCCGTGGCGCTGGCTGGTTCGTCAGTGAACTCGGACTGGCAGCTGGAGGTAGCGCCGCAGTCCGTCCTGGAGCACGTCTTCCCGCCGACGGTGAAGACTGCCGAGCTCACGCTCTGCTTGCACGCCCGGCTCACAGCCTCCCGTCTCGCGGCCCAGGAGGTGCCGGCACGGGGCGCCTCCGTGGCGAAACACGCGCAGAAGGCAGTCCGCAAAGAGAGCAGGAGGGAAAAGACACGTCCGGTGTCATCCGACAGCACCAGCACGGACGACAAAGACTTCGACGCCGCGGCGTGTCTGAGTTCCTACGGGTTGCCGAACGTGAGCCACGAGCACATGCCCCCCCACGCCGCCCTGCGCACCGTGGCGGCCAAGGCGAGGAAGGCCGTTCGACGGAAACGGCCCTTCGTAGTGAACGGCTCCGCAGCAAAATGGGCCCCTCAGTGGATGGGTGATCAGCACAAACCTCAGAGGAATATGGACATCATTCATGCCCAGTGGACCGCCCTGTGGTGGTCGAGGGCGCTCAGCCAGCTAACTGTCCAGGCGCATTCTGGCGCCGAGGCCGTCAGCGTGCAGGCGCTGCTCACGGAGTTCCTGGACGCCAACAGGCTCGCAGTCCAGGAGTCGGGGCGGGTCGCGGCAGAGTACGACAGGTCCCTCTGGGACGACATGTCGGAGCGGACCCTCAGGAAGGACAAGAGCTGCGTCCCCGAGGCCATCCTCATGGCCATCAACGAGAACCGGCTTTCCCGGGCGCGCGAGGCGGCGAAGCACGCCGTGGAGGCTCGCCAGCAGCAGCAGCAGCAACCGTGGGGGGCTGCGCCCAGTGGCAAGGGCGCCGGCAAGGGGGCGCACAAGCAGCAGGGGGGCCCGCGCCCGCCGGCCCCTCCTGTCCCGGCCCGGAAGGGCGCCAAGGGCAAGGGCAAGAGCTGGTGAGAGTCGTGTGCCTTCGACCAGTATATCGCAGATGAGAGTGATGAGGCGTCTTCGGAGTGCTCGTCGCTTGACAGCGGGTCTGCTGGTCGGGAAGCAGCCGACGACGCGCCAGAACGCTTGGAAGAAGGAGCTGCACTGACCCACATGCTGGGTGCCCGCGGCAGTTTGGAATTCCATGAATTCATGGAGTGGCGCCCGGATCAGCATGTCTCTGGTGAGCAAAGGGGCACCCTTGCAGCTCTCGCGCAGGACCCGCGCGCGGCTTTTGAACGGACGCAGGCAGCACTGCGGCACTGGAGAAACGAAAAAGAGCAGCATGGCAGTGAGTTGCAGCAGTGGAGAGAGAGAGCTTGCCCCCAAACCAAAAACATGTAGTTGGCAAATTTGACCCTTTCATGATTAGGAATATGTTGGTTGCGTCTGGGCATGCTGACACCAAGTACGTCGACGACCTGTTGCGCGGTTTCCCACTAACCGAGACACTCCACGTCGGCGGTCTTGGGGTTGACGTCCAGGGCGGCGTCCGCAGCCGAGGTCGGCCAGGGCTCGGCGGCGGCCCGCCTTTGTCCGACTTGAAGCAGCGCTGCGCTGAGATCAATGCCCGGACTCTCGGCCGCGCCCAGCGACGGGCCAGCGCTACAGATGATGGCGAGACCCTCGTGGCCGAAATCTGGGCGCAAACCATGAAAGACGTAGATGAAGGCAGAGCTGGGCCACCAGTGCCTTTAGACCGCGTGGATCTGGACAACATTTTGTTGGTCGACACATTCGGTATATGGGAGCAGCACGGAGAGGCGGCCTCGCCGAAAGTGAGGAGCATCAGGAATTTCAGGACCAACGGTGTGAACGAGTACGCTTTCATGCCCCAGAAACTTCGGCACGATGATCTCCATCAGATGGTCGCCGCGCTCCGCCTGCTCTCAGAGGGCCATGGCGACGCAGCCCCGGCCATGGGGAAAGCAGATTTTAAGTCTGCCTTCAAGACGCTGCCGCCGGACTCGCGGCACGAGTGGCTCTGCTGGGCCCTTGTGTCGCAGCCGGACACGGGGGCTTGGATGGCCGTGCCGCTGTGGACGCACGTTTTTGGGAATCTGGGCGGTGTTACTGCCTGGTTCAGGACAGCCGAATTCATGCAGTCTGTCATGCTGAAGCTTTTCTTTGTGGTCGTCTTCATATATGTGGACGACGCTTTCTGGGCCTGCCCGGATGTCGCAACCCCAGCAGGTGTCCCGTTCGCAGAGTGGGTCTGCGCTTGTCTTTGAAGAGGTCGCCACTGATCTTCTGGGTTGGCGGCTGGACCCGGCCAAGAGGGATTCGGGGCAGTCGTTGGTGTTATTGGGCTTGCAAATCGCCAACAGCACCGGGGTGTCCAGGTGGTCGTTGAACATTGCGAAGCAGCAGAAGTGGGCGGGCGACATCCGCCACATTTTATCGACTGACTCCCTGGACCCGGGCACTGCTGCGAAGCTCTGTGGCCGGCTGCAGTTCCTTAACTCCCACATCTTCAACCGGGTCGGACGCGCCCTCCTTCGCCCGTTGATCTGGCGACAGTGCCAAAAACGTGGGCCGTATGCGTTGACTCAAAGACTCCGATTTTCCTTGTCGTGGTTTTTGTCCGTCATCATCAGTGGCATATCCAGAGAAGTACCTCTATTGTAGGCCAGTATTGTTGCCGTTAGTAGTTCTGTATTCTGATGCGGAGCACACCGGCCACGTCGGCGCGGTAGCAGATTTTGCTTCGTCCCACTGCGTATTTCTGCGCGGCCGTTTGCCCAGGCGAACGCGCAGACTCTTGCAGTGCAGAAAGACGAACATTGTGGCGTACGAGCTCCTGGCTGCCCTTGTGGCCATTGTTTCGCTTTGTCCACAAGATCTGTCCTCCTCCTCCTCCTCGTCCTCGTCCTCGTCCTCCTCCTCCTCCTCCTTCTCCTCCTCCGCCTCCCTCTCCTCCGCCCTCCTCCTCCTCCTCCTCCCTCTCCTCCGCCCTCCTCCTCCTCCTCCTCCTCCTCCTCCTCCTCCTCCTCCTCCTCCTCCTCCTCCCCCTCCTCCCCCTCCCCCTACAGGGTGCGTTGGGGCAGGAACCTCAAAGTGGCCCGGCCGTGGCCACGAGGAGAGCCCCCCTCCGTGGCCCCAGGCCGCCATCCGACGCGCCGGGGCGCACGCGAGCACCCAGCTGGCCGCTTGGATGCCCCTCCTCGTTAGAAAAAGCACACACACGCCATAAGCAGAAACTTTCGCCGCCCCGCGCGGATGTCTTGGATCTGCGGCGGGCTCCCCTCCCTGGCGCGGCGTTGAGCGCGCCAGGGGCGGCGCCGGAGGCGCCGCGGGGGGGGGGGGGGGGGGGGGGGGGGGGGGGCAGCGCGGATCCAAGAAATCCGCGCGGAGCGCCAAAGGTTTCGGTTTATGGCGTTTTCTCCTCTTCGATTCGTCGCGCGTCCCGAAACAGGATGCGCTCCGCGCCGTCCTGCTCTCGCGTCGCCCCTGCTGGAGCAGCTCAGCTCCCAGCCCAGACCGTGACGTGCGAGACAGCGCCAGGCGCCAGAAGGCGAGAGCAGGCCCCCCTCCTGGAGGGAGGCCCCCCTCCCAGGGGGTGCCGCCATCCCAGGGGTGCCGCCCTCCTGGGAGTCGTCGGCGCGCCGTCGGGGCGCTCCGGGGGCGCTCGTCCTCCTCGTCCTCCTCCTCCTCCTCCTCGTCCTCGTCCTTGTCCTCCTCCTCCTCCTTCTCCTCCTCCGCCTCCCTCTCCTCCGCCCTCCTCCTCCTCCTCCTCCTCCTCCTCCCTCTCCTCTCCCTCCTCCCCTCCTGCTCTCTCTCTCCTCCTCCTCCTTCCTCCTTCTTCCTCCTCCTCCTCCTCCTCCTCCTCCTTCTCCTCCTCCTCCTCCTCCTCCTCCTCCTCCGCGTCTTCCTCCTTTTCGTTCGCCCAACTCTGCAGAGGCTGCGTACCACCGAGGACGTGAAACACTGGACGTGCGACCGCGTGGAACACAGTACGGCATAAAATGAACCTCTGGAGCGAAGCCAGATCGGCAGGAATCGGCTGACACATCGAATCGGCAGGAGTCGGATCGGGCGATCTCGAAATCGGAATTGCGAATCGGAATCTCTGTGTAGAATTGGTTCGAATCGGCAGCCGGGGAAATCGAATCGGATCGAGCCGGCGGAGTCGGAATTACCCCAGTGCTTCCTCCATTCCAACGCAGTTTGATTTCATCGTCCTTCTTTTCCTCCCTGCATGTACTTATTCACTCCCTTCACCATCATGTCTCATTCCTCCCTCTCCTCTCATCCCTCCTGCCCCCCCCATCCTACACCTCCCCATCCTCAGATGAAGTCGGCGATCGTGGTTCGCCAGACCGTGGTACGTTTTTCCAGGTGGTTACCCAGACCCCCGACGAAATGATTTTTTCATTACGTCGACCCCCAGAGGTCCCGACCCTTTCGCCATGACCGGCTTCGCATCCCGAGTCGTTTTTTGACGCTCCCGAGGCCCGGTGCGGGCCCCCGGAGGCCGAAACTTAGGAAAAACCTCCCGTCGTGATTTTTTCATTACTCGAGGGGGTCTGGGTATATAGACAGAGAAAAAACGCCATATACACAAACTTTTGGCGCTCCGCGCGGCTTTCCTGGATCTGCGCCGGGCTCCCCTCCCTGGCGCGTGGAGCGCGCCAGGGGCCGGCGCCGGAGGCGCCGGCCGGGGGTGGGGGGCCGGAGCGGATCCAGGAACTCCGCGCGGCACGCCAAGAGCTCATGCTTGGAGTTGTGCCTCCCCAGGCCCCGGACGTCGTGATTTTTCCACAAGCGTCGACCCTCCTCCTCCTCCTCCGCCTCCTCCTCCTCCTCCTCCTCCTCCTCCTCCTCCCTCCCTATGGGACCACGAAACGTGTGAGGGGTGTGCCAAAGTGGGTCTGCGGCGCCGAGGTCGGGACCACTTCCCCGGGACCGCAAGGCTGGCAATCCACTGCCTGCACCACCTTTGGCCATCGAAGGCGCCGCATCGCCGAGCAGTGCCGGTCAGGTGGCCAAGAACGGGGGGGAGGATCAGGACGAAGGAGACGCTACCTGCCCAGACCCCCCGACGCCATGATTTTTGTCACAGCGTCGCCCCCCAGAATCTGGACCTCTTCCCCGGGACCGGTTTGTCATGAAGAGCCGTTCTTTGAAGGTCCCGAGGCCCGGGAAGGGCCCCCGGAGGTCGCCAGCAGCGAAAAACGCCCCGTGGCGACCTTTGCGCGGCGCGAGGGGGTCCGCGTGGGAGGGGGCAGGGGGGAGCACAGGCAGCCTCGGGTGGAGCAGGAGCGAGGCGACGGCCACTGTCGCAGCGCTGCCGCGAGGGGGCCGCCGCCGACTGCAGGGCGCAGGGGTGGGCGAGGACGAAGGAGACGCTACCTGCCCAGACCCCCGACGTCGTGACTTTTTCACAGCGTCGCCCCCCCCAGAACTGCAGTTCTGGGGTGCGACGTTGTGAAAAAATCGGGGAACCCTGGCTCCTGATCCGCCGTACTTTGGATGATTTTCCGACCTAAAATTGTATCGGAAATCGACGCCAAAGGAGCCTCAAGGGCGGAAATCGACGCTCAAAGGGGCCTCAAAAGTAGGGCGGAAATTTCCGCCCTACTTTCGAAATCGCCCAAAGTAGGGCGGAACAGGAGTCAGGGGGGCCCTTCCCGCGCCGTGCTGGGACGGCCCCGAGGCCCGGCAAGGGGCCCCCAATGGAGGCCGAGGCCGGCGAAAGTGCGCGCCCTCCTGCACGAACTCTCTGCACGGACGCGAGGGGCTCTGGGCGCTCGACTCTCGCAGTGGAACGAAGAACGCCCTGACTCCTGATCCGCCCTACTTTGGGCGATTTCGAAAGTAGGGCGGAAATTTCCGCCCTACTTTTGAGGCCCCTTTGAGCGTCGATTTCCGCCCTTGAGGCTCCTTTGGCGTCGATTTCCGAGACAATTTTAGGTCGGAAAGACATAAACTTTTTGTTAACTCGGAGGTCCGCGATTTCTCCGATCGGCGCTTGGGCCCACGTGCGGCGCCTCCGGCGCCAGCCCATGGCGCGCTGCGCGATTTCACGGATCGGCGCTGGACCAGGAAAGTTTCCCCGCCGGAACACGCTGCGAGTTCAAGTTGCTCGCGCCGAGGCTCCCCTGCCGCCGCCCGGAACGAGCTCCGAAGCCACCAGCGGCTCTGCTTCATCCGAAACCCTCTTAGCCCTCTCGCGCGCTACCCGTGAGAATGCCCCGCCCGTGTGCGAGCGATTCTTGTCGGGGGTCAAAATCCAGACCCGGGTCAGCAGGAAACCAAAAACTGCAATGCAGGGGGGAAAAAAACTGCAGCGCACCCAGCGCAGGTGCTTCGCAGAGCAGACCTTCCTATGAGGCAGAAAGTATATGCATGTTGGCCGGCTCGCTAGCTGGGTCGGCTCCAAGGGGTCTTCGCAGGATCCGGCAGGATTCGTGCCCTGACCCCCGCTTGCATTGACCCCTGTTTCTCCTCCTCCTCCTCCGCCTCTCCTCGTCCTTCTCCTCCTCCTCTCCTCTCCTCTCCTCTTTGAGCCACGACCGTGGAAACTTTTTGGACCACTCTCTCGTTGTGGTTGGCGTGGGGGGGGGGGCCGCTGCCGCTTCCGCCGGCCGCGCTTCCGCTCGCGGAGAGCCCCCCTCGCTATGTCGCGGAGGAGGGAGGAGGGAGGAGGGGATGATGCTGATGATGATGATGAGGAGGAGGAGGAGGAGGAGGAGGAGGAGGAAGGAGGTGGAGGAGGAGGAGGAGGAGGAGGAGGAGAAGGAGGAGGATGAGGATGAGGATGAGGATGAGGATGAGGATGAGGAGGAGGAGGAGGAGGAGGAGGAGGAGGAGGAGGAGGGGGAGGGGGAGCTTCCGCCGAACAAGAGAAATCAACTTCTCGGCCACTCGACGGCGAGGTCCTGTCTGGAGCGAATGGCATGGGCAAAAGCGTAGGTATGTAGTTTTTCTGCTCCAGACACGCCAAGCGCACATCCTCAGAGGGGAGGCGTCCCTGCCGTGTACCTCCCGCCCCAAGAGCACCTTCTTGGTGCGCGTCAGCTTATCGTGCGCGCTGACGACGACAGTGTCATTATCCAAGACGCGCACCCCGTCCTCAGGGTGAGAGCTAGGGAAGAAGGATGAGGACAAGCACGACCAGGATGATAAGGATGAGGAGTGGTACTGCCTGAACGCCTGCAATAATCGAATTGCCAAGGCTCGGCGATTCACCGGCAATCTTGTGCCCCACAACACGTAGCTATCCGAGCGAGTCTGCATCACCTGATAGTACGAGAAGAACGCCCGATCGTGACGCCTACGCGTCCTCTCCCGAGAACTCGACTCGCTCCCCGCAAGGCTGGCAATCCACTGCCTGCACCACCTTTGCTCATCGAAGGCGCCGCATCGCCGAGCAGTGCCGGTCAAGTGGCCAAGAACGGGGGGGAGGATCAGGACGAAGGAGACGCTACCTGCCCAGACCCCCGACGCCATGATTTTTTCACACAACGTCGACCCCCCAA